GGGGTGCTGCTGCTGAAATTGTTGGCATCTGCATGGAAGTTGATCAACTGTTGTCTCAGCAAGCTTCTTCTCCCACTCAAAGTGATTGTGAAGAATAGAGCCCAATGATTGGGGAGCAGACTCTCTAGGCGTCTTGGAGGGAAGGTGAAACGGGATGCAAATGCCTTTGAACTGCTGAATGGTATGGGACAAAAACGAGGAGACATGGGAAGCAAAAGAAGGATGAGACAGAAACGGTAAAGTGACGGACTTGTTGTGCCGGGGTACAGAGCAGTTACGAAACTGTAACGCAGATTTGAGCAACTGTACCACCCTAGATCCGAAAGGTTGCTCCATGATCTTGGCCATCCTGAACATCGCGTACAACTCTAGCGTTGAGACTTTGGCAGACCTGACAATTTTTGCAGCAGAGAAAGATGCCGAGGTCAGCGACGCCAAATCGTACAGAAGCGACCATGCTTGGCTTTTGTCCATCAAACATCGATTCGAAGTACTTGTTGAAGCAGCACGTCTTCGAACTTTTGCCCAAAGTCTGGAAAACAGTGATACATTCTTAAGAGAGGGACGTGGCCTGACTCTCTTGAATCCCAATGCTGACTTTATGAAGAAGCGGTCAATAAACGGTGAATTGAATCTGGGCTGCCATCGATCGATGAGTACATGCTCTTGCACCCAAGCTTGTTTGTAGTCATCATGAACTGAAAGACAAAGTGTAGAGAAGTCGAAATAACTGCCAAGCGAAGCCCAAATGCGAATGGCAGGTTCAACTTGAACATATTGCTCACGGAGAACTTGCTTGAGTTTGGACTGACGGTTGAATTCACGCTTCGAAATAGTGATTGAGGTACTTCCCACATACATCCATCGGTCTCGTTGCTTGAACGATGAACGGGTACTCCAAGACACGGGAGCTTTCAAATAAACTGCAAAAGGACGCTGAAACCGCGTGAATGTATACTCAGACGGTGTAACTCCAGCTTTCTGCAATTTTTCAAGCAGCCGTTGCTCTGGCGAAGTACCCCTGGAGTAATGGAACAGTAGAATCAGATGACAAAAACCTTGCAACCAAATGGCCATCACTTTGTCCACATGCGGAATAAATTGAAGCACAAACGACATGAACTTGCCAATCTCTGTAATATGAACATGTGCTGACCGAATCTCCTTTGCGGAGAATTCATTGGAAGCAAGGCTGTGTGCAATTCAGACAACTTGAAAAGCTGCCGCTGCGATGCACGTAGAAAGACTCTTGATACCCATCCTAGATGCAAAGGTCGCCGAGATCCCGAATTTGACTGCAAGTTCTTGCAGTTTGGCTTTTTCCTTGCCTCCATAGTTGATCTGCACAAGCTTGGAGACGGAAACAATGTGTTCTTGAAATTCTGCAAAGCGCTTGCCTAGGGGTCGTTTAAAACTCTGGATCCACTTGTCAACGTCCCCCTCTCCTGATCCTTTTAACCGTGCTTTGTGATCGTTCAAGGCTTCTGCAGGAACGCTGTCGATCTTGTTCTTGAGGTCAGTCTCCCAAGTCTTCGGTGGTGTCCCGGATTGTAGACAAGGCACACTAGATTGCGAAGCAACCGGGAGCTGTGCTTTCGAAGTGGATTTCGTAGGGGTAACAGGAAGTCCTGCGGCTTGCAACTGTTCACGGCGGCGGTTGAGCTCTTCCGAAACTTGAAGGAACTTCTGGGATTGGTCAACGCCTGTGGGCACCGGCATGTTGTTAAACATGAGCTGAACAATCTTGTCAATCAACGGCTGAAACAGGACGGCGCAATCTGTGGTCTTGTTGGGAACCGTTGTAGACGGATTAGCGGCCTGAAAAAGTTGCGTAGCAACTGCATCGATGTCAACCTTGCGATCTCGAAGGCTTTTTGTCACTTGCGACACGAACACCGCTTCGGCAACTGTGGCAACTGGCACAACACTGAAAAACTTGCCATGACTTAATGCTCTCAGACGCCAATCTGAAACTCCATGGAACAGGAATTCCTGAACAGGAATGCCAAGTGGATCTTTTCCTGCGATTCCTTTCTTTCGCGACCACGGGGTGGCTTCAATGTACTTACGAAATGACAAACCATGAAGTACTGTTGAGTCATAATGATCACGATCTGACGTCCATCCATTCGGTAGCGCAGGTACAAGAACAGGACCTTGATGAAGTGGCATGGGAGTAGACGGCGATGATGAAGGTGCCGAAGTAAGTGGAGGCGGAGGTAGGGGAGGCGGCTGACTAGCAGGAGCAGACTTGGGGAAGTTGGGATCATTCCAACTGCCCGAGCTGTACGGCTGAAAGCGATGTTGACCCCACGATTGTTGGGATCTCCCGTATCCTGTGCTGGTATCCCACTGTCCATTCCATGCCATGGTTTCTGAACTAGCGACAAAGCTAAGTCCGAGGGATCGCTAAGGACACTTCGAATCAAAGAGCTCCATAGGAGAACAAACCTGCTCAAGGAGCTTTCTAACTGCAGCACTTGCATCAATCTTGCACAACTCTTGCACGACACTTGCTCATCTCTTGCACATCTGACGCACACCCTTGCACTACTTCTGAGGCTTCACTTGCACCACACTTGCATATCCCTTGCTGGTACACCTCTCAATCCGAACTGGCATGTTTTCATACGTGTGTGCACACATAGCAGTTGACAACGGAAGACGCTTGAGAACGTGGTTGGTCAAGGCAACTTACGGCACTCAGACCTTCCAAAAGACAAGAAGTGCTTCCGGGATGAAACATGAGGAGCGGAAGACCCATCTGCCATCTTTGGCACGGGCAACGTCACGAATGTAACTGCAGGAATGGTCACCCTCAACTCCTCCCATGGGGATCCTTGAATGGGGGGGCGTGAGGGACCCTTGGCGATTAAATGCAGACCCAAAAATGCACACCGGACGCTCACTCAGAATGCCACCGTACTTGGACGCCGCCTCTTGTGCTTGTTCTGCATCTGAAGTGTGAGCCCTAGCATAGAAGGAAACCGGTGGGGACCACATGCTGTCACGAGCATCCCAATACGAGGGTCGAATCGTTCCCTCAAGGAGGATAGAGGCGGCCCCGGCCACTGTTGTGTTGTGTGCAACAGGCATACGAGCAATCCCTGCTGTCAAAGTCTGCGACTTGATCATGGTCCTCTCAAAGTGGTTGAAGTGGATGCTCAAACACTTGCACGAACTCGACAAAGAACGAAGCTCAACAGATCGAATGTTTGCAGCTTGATCGGCTGCAGCAATTGCTTGAGAGACATACTTCAATGCTGTCGAGTTGACAAACTGAGAAGGAAGTCCTAACAGGCTCATCAGATAGTCCGCAGTGCTTTGCATCAAGGAGCTGGGAACTTGCAACTCAAGATTGGCCTGTATCTTTCTCGAAATCTCACATGCCGATTTCATACGGCCAGGGCTGGAACTGATCAAGTGACGTAGGGCAGTAAACATGGGGTATAATGCGACCCAATTGAAGTTGGCTGAATACACTTGTATCAGCTTCGCTTCTTCATCACGCACTTCCAACCCACGAAGTTCAGGAATCACGAAGAAGTTTGAATCTTGTTCCCACTCAACTTCCACATGCCCTTTGAGAAGAGACAGATCGATTCTCAAGATGCTCATACGATTCTTGCAAGGGTTTAACCCGATAGACGTAAGTCTGGTCCGCACTGAGCTGCCACCCTACACGATCAGCATGAGTACCAGGAATGTTATCGCAAATCGCACGAAGTCGAATGCTGTTAGGATCTGCAACAAGAGAAACTCCGCTTCCATGGACTTGCCGAAGTCGTTTTGAGGGCTGGGAAGAATCATCCGTCTGATATGTGAGGGCTGACTGCTGGCTCTGACCAGAAGCTGCTGAATGACTTTGTTGAGAAACAACAGTCTGCTGAATGTCGAGCAAATTGTTGAGGCCGGCATACACATCTCTGTGACCTCGGACATGAGTCAAGTTTGCCGACATAATTGCTGAATATTCAGCAAAATCGGCCACCGAACGAAACGACAGACGGAAACCTGTGCCATCTGCATGAAGAGTGATGGCTGGTGGAACCTCTTGCTGTGGAACAGGTCGATCACTTACAGCACGTACGGCTGTCGAGGTAGGAGCTACATCTGCTGTTCCCAAACCAACATTGCATGCAGAAGAGATCGGCAAAGGTGACGGAGCTGGCGTCGGGCAAACTGCAGGAGTGGGGGGTGGGGGAGGGAAAGCGGGAGGGGGAAGGGGAGGGGGGGTGGAATCCACTTCGGTGTGGTGCCACGAGAGGAGGGCGGGGCAGCAGTGGGGAGGGGAGGGGGGGGCAAAGGAGGGAGGGGAGAGGAGGAGGGTGGAGGGAGAGGCGGGGGAGGAAGGGGGGGAAGAGATGTCCCGGTACTGCGTCCTTTGCCTGAAGTATCCATGGCAAATTGATCAGCAACTACCAAAAGTACAGCTCATGTACTCAACTTGCAGCCGAAGACCTGCGACAAGTCAGCGGTGAAGTCAGGTTCGTCGGGAAAGTCAATCAGATCATAATAAAGTCAATGAGAAAGTCAGCATTCAGTTTCGGAGAAGGCATTTGGGAAAGACTCACTGAGAAAGTCAGCATGCAAGCATGGATATAAAGTCAAGGGAAGTCATCCAATGCTTATGCAATCAATCGGGAAAGTCAGCGCCAGAGCTACCTCTGGGAGACACGGCGCCCATAGGGAATGCCGTTGTGAAGCACACTTGACACATCGTGTCGCAGGTCTGTTCTGTCGGTGCATATTGTCAGAAGCTGTCAGGAAAAGTCAGAAGCTGTCAGGGGAAGTCAGAACATGCAATCAGAAGTACTACCATAGGGCAAACGCGAATCACTCATGTAACTGCACATGGAACTGCACATGAAACTGCACTGCACTCCTACCCGCAATCAACAGTTGTGTAGTCACAAGCTGCACAAATGTGCCCATGCCGACCACTGCAGGTACGTTTACCTGTCTCAATATCACGGAGCTTCAGTGGCAGAGGCCGTGAAATGAGACCCTCTGCCCCCTGCTGCTTAGCTCACTCACGTCTCTTGGAAACAGAGTTGGACACACACACACACACACACACACACACACACACACACACACACACACACACACACACACACACACACACACACACACACACACACACACACACACACCGCACACACACACACACACACACACACACACACCACACACACACACCACACACACACCACACACACACACACACACACACACACACACACACACACACACACACACACACACACACACACACACACACACACACACACACACACACACACACACACACACACACACACACACACACACACACACACACACACACACACACACACACCAACACCAACACCACCAACACCAACACCAACACACAACACCACACCACCAACACCAACACCAACACCACACACCAACACCACACACCAACACCAACACCAACACCAACACCAACACCAACACACGCACACACACACACACACCAACACACACCAACACACACCAACACACACACACACACACCAACACACACACACACACACACACACACACACACACACACACACACAACACACCAACACACACACACACACACACACACACCAACACACCAACACACCAACACACCAACACACCAACACACACATACACACCAACACACACACACACACACACACTCACAGGCTTGGTCTTCTGGCAGGAAGAACCAAAATCCGATTCAGTTTGAGACGACCGGCGAGTACGGCTTTGAAGCCCAGGCACGTGCCCTTCCTGTGCCGGTAGAAAAAGAAAATCAACGAAGTGGGAACCAACAGTCCCCCTGTACTGCACCGAGTCAAGGGGCGGTGTGCCGGACGAGCCGCACTGGTGTCCTTCATTCAGGCATTCTCTTGTTGTATTCAAGCCTGACCAGGGGCAGAAGAAGGACTTAGAACGTACGACCTTTTCTCGGTGCATATATGTCATTGCAGCGATGGGAGGAGACTGAAACTGCGTTGAACGCTGAATTGCTTTGGGTGATTGTTGGAAGACTCGTGTCTTGCCGAAGTTTTCGCTAGTTCTGCCGGCCATGACTGGGTTGGGTGCAACTTTTCAATACTCACACCAGGGACAGAACCTGAGCAGGGATGAAGCCTCCATCTGGGACCCTCCATGTCTCGAGGTGAAAGCCTGGTACAACGCCGTAGCTCTGGACGCCTGGCATCCTGATGTCCAGGCTGCCGTCACCTAAACCGGCGTACCTCAGTACGTTTGTACCGGCTTGCATCAAGCCTTGGACCAGACCCCCGGCCAGGCCGTCCTGAAGAAGACAGTACAGGCCATTGGTAGTGGCCCGTGGGGCTCAGGAGACGGGGAACGTGAGTACCTAGTGTTGATTGATGGCACCGTTTTCATGGTGTGGGTTTGTCATGCAGCGCCTTGACTTCAAATTTAGGCTCCACCTGTGCTTGCTGGCCTGGGGGCTACACCCGAAAGGGCGGAAACCGTCACCCACAACGAAATGATCCCTAGGTCTGGGAATGGTCCGAATTCACGGTCGCCTGTAGATTCCACGAGAAACATCCCTACCATATGCCTACGCACGGATCCGGAGTCACGAGTAATCACAGTAAAGCCTTGTCTCAGGACTTTTCATACCAGTGTTCGGGTTGTTCATTTTGTTTTCACTGTTGTCACGGATTGTGATGGTTTTACTCACTTTGTGTCGTTGCGGTCATGATTAATCCTGTGTCTCTGTCAGGAGTTTGGTGGGGCAACAGCCAGATCTTTGCTTTGGTTGCCTGGATCGGGCAAGCTCTGGCGCAGAGCAGCTGGGGGCGGGACTGCTGCCAGGGTAGGTGGTGACCTGCTATGCTTATGAAAGAGGGACTTCCTTCTGGCTTTGCTTGCAAAGGGATTCTCGCAAGCTTGGCAGCAAGTTTGGGGCTTGGGGAGAGTCGAGAAGCAGGGATCTTGGAAGGACATGCCTCTGGACTACTACATTTACTCCAGCTTCACCGAGAACCCTTCGAACCAGTGCTTGGTTCATTCCAAAGCAGCCTGCAGCGCTTGCCTGGCTGCATGTGACAATTCCGGCTATGCAGGCTCGGCTAGGGTTCTTTCTGAAGTTTCAAGACCAAGACGGGGACACCGAAACGATTTGCAGATCGCCGCAGAAAGGCTCTGGCAACAACCAGCGCTACTGCTGCATGGAGCCGGAACCCTGGATCCCGTCGGCCGGGCTCTTCGATGGGAAGGTGCAGCGGCGCGGGTTGGGGTTGCGAAGAGGGAGAGGGCGTGGCCTTGCATTTCACAGATCAGTGGTCTCATCTCTTCGCAGGCATGCCTGCCCTCTGAACTTGCTCCCACGCTGTGCGGCGTGCACGGCTTTGGAGAGGTGTGGCTCTGTTCGCAAGGAGTCTGCCTTTGATGACGTTGCAAGATGGGAGCTGGGTTGGATTACTGGAAGAGCCGTGTCAGTGCAAGGTACGATGCATTCCGGGAGTCCACCGTGGGTGAACTCTGGGACAAAGTCAAAACTGCCGCAGATGCTCTGCACGACAATCCGGAGGACTCTTCGGGGCGTATTGACCTAACGGTGGGAGATTGCTTCGCATCCATCGTCGGGATCTAGCACTCAAGAGCCATGGTCCGGGAGTTGATGAGTTGATGTTGCTCGAGTTGTGGTGTGTGTTGGAGAGAGAAAATGCAGGAAGCGACCCTCTTTGACAAGATGCTTGCCACACACTAAAGCTATCTGGACTCCTGGACATTGCTGCAACACGCAGATCGATCTCCAGGGAGTGTTTCACATTAGACCTCATGTAGGCCGTCCAAAAGGAGTGGAACCCAAGCTTCCATTCTGCATTTTGTAACACTTTGCTGTCATGCTACTGATGCCCCTGGTGCTGCTGCTGCTCACTCGTGCTCCTCCTCATCCTCCTGCTCCACACCACTACTACTACTACTACTACTACTACTACTACTACTACTACTACTACTACTACTACTGCTACTGCTACTGCTACTGCTACTGCTACTGCTACTGCTACTACTACTACTACTACTACTACTACTACTACTACTCCTACTCCTACTCCTACTCCTACTGCTACTGCTACTGCTACTGCCACTGCCTACGGCTACGACTACGACTACGACTACGACCACTACTACTACTCCCGCTCCTGCTGCTGCTGCTGCCCGTGCTACTGCTGCTGCCACTTCCACTGTCGCTGCTACTGCTACTGCCGTTACTCCTACTGCTCCTGCCACTACCACTGCCACAAGCACTACCACTGCCGCTGCGACTGGTAATCCTGCTACTACCACCACCACCACGACGACGACTACTGCTACTACTACTATTCCTTCGTTGTTGTTATTACTACTACCTCTACTGCCGCTGCTGCTGCTGCTGCTGCTGCTGCTGCTGCTACTGCTACGGCTGCTACACTATGACGGTGCTGGTTTCGGCAGTGGTCCATCTGTTCAGTTCTCTTGTTGTGATGATCACAAGCATGATCAGTCATTGTCTCATGCCGTGTTGCCAAGGGTTCGACATCGACGGCACCGAGCCCCGCGGCCCCAGCTTCCAAGAGCCCTGTCGGTCTGGTGACCCAGCTGGGCTTCGATTACAACCAGATTGGTCATTGTGAAGGTGATCTTCATCGAAGTAATCGCAGACAGCTGATGCCAGTCGGATTCATCCAGGAATTGTGGTGACCTGAAAAGATGCAAGAAGAGCATGGCTGCCAGTCCTCTGGGCTCCGAGGCCGCTGTACAGCACCTTCCCGTGGGAGGAACAGGCACGAAAGCCCTCGGACACCGAGGGCCTCGGGGGGTGTTGCCAGTAGGATTAGCCGTAGCGTTACCACCGTCCTTCGTCCTCTCCGTTTCGTTGCAGTCTTCGTCTTCGTTGTGGTGCATGTCGTCGTCGTAGTAGTAGTAGAAGAAGTAGTGGTAGTGGTAGCTGGTAGGCATCCTAAGCATCATCATTATCATCGCAGCTGTAGTTGCCGCACCAGCAGCCAGGCATTTTGCAGTAGTTGTCCAGGCGCCGGTTGTTGTTTGGCACCTCCGACTGCAGCGCAAGTAGCATGCCTCGGCAGGTGGACGGATTTGAGAAGCCAGCATCGTGCACGCACAAGGCCTCGGAGCAAAGGGTCCCAAGTGCGAGGCTGGTCTCTCAACTGTCTTCCTGTCAGAACTGGAGACACAAGTGCCTGAAGTACAAGCTTGGCACGCAGTGCGCGACACTGGAGCTAGACACAGGCCGGGATGCTTGGATCGTGTTCTGGCGCCCGGGCTGTGTTTGCCTTCCAGGGCTCAATCGGAAGGCATTTCTCTGCTCACGGTCAAAGGGAGCGAGTGCGTGCTATCTTTGGTACGAGAACCGGAATGCTGAAAAATCCAAAGCAAGTTCAATCCCAAGGCCTGATATGCTGTGGAAGGAGTCCGGACAAGAATCCCAGATCCAGAATCCTTTAGCAACGGGGACACCTGTCTCTTTGCCCCTTCCAGGAGACGGCGCAAATGGATTGAATCCAGCAGTCCTGGACGCGCTCCAGGTGGGCCCAGTCTTTGGCAGTGCGACTGTCAGCACAAGCAAGCAAAGTATTGGACAGGGAGAACAGCTAGTGTTTGCAGCTAGAGACTCTGAATGCAAGGAAACGCGTTGTTGCTACGACAGTCCTCACAACAGCACCACATCAACGCAGCAACAGGCTTACTCATGCGACCCAATGTCAAAATCAGCCGTAGTATCTGAGACACCGTTACCAATGTAGCAGCACCTATGACCAGCATGGATAGCTGCCACAAGGCACAGATTCACACGAAGGATATCTTTGGCAAGATGTACATGACATCGACGAACTCCGAGCGCCTTTATTGGAGAACGTGGTGACTCAGAAGCACACAAGAAGCAAACATTTTCTCAGCGAAAACTACATTGTGCACCAATGGCATCAGCAGAATACCGGAATTCAGAAGAACACAATATGACGCAGTTCCTAGAAGTGGAGAAGCCGGTTTGGTTTTGTAGACACTCCCTCGTGCAGGATGCCATTATGGACCTTCAGGTTGCGTGGGAGTCTGGGAGGGGCGTGGGACCGCAAATAGTACGTAGAGTGCGGCTGATGTTATGCGTGAGAGGCTCGGCCAGATTTCCCACAGCTGTCCAGCTCCAGCATGATGATGAGAGAGATGTAGCGAAAACCCGACTTGAGCTGCAGGACCGGAGCGACATCAGAGTCGTCATTCTGAAGTTGTGCTCTTGGCCCTTGTGCAAGTCATTGACACTTCATGCAAGCTAGGCAGCTGAGCTTCGAGGTCAACCGGCAAATTCTTCAGCCAGGGCTTTGACCCCAAGCACCTTATGGCTGAGTCAACGATGTCGGATGAGGCCCAGTATCATGCACGTCCATCATCTCTTTTCAGGGGTGGTGCAGCAGACATTCACGTCAGGACATCATTGCGTTTCAGACGCAGTTTGCTTGATCCCCAGCCGTGCTGACATTAGGTCTTCGAGGCATCCGTACCCACTCCTAGTGCTGGATCCATCATCTTTTTGCTCAGGCAAAAATCCTCTACTTTCTGCAGAGGCATGTCCGGTGAGCTTGCTGCCATGGTAGTCGAAGTTGTGAGGACAAGACTTGGCGTGCTGCGTCTTTCTTGTTTGCCGCTCGCCAGCTTCTGCACTCAAACCATGTCAAGAGAGAAGGTCCAGCGCCAGGATCTATGCATTTGTGCAGAATACACCCCCACCCTGGCGGAGACAAGAGCCTAGCCATCTGTTCCAGCTGTTTCTTGGGGCTTTGAAAGCCCCAAACTCATCCAACGGGTCTCGATGTCTCGAAGCCATGGGCGGCAAGCCGAGCAAAGTTCCGGGTGGGGCCATCTTGTCAATCAGGGAGATGAACCCCGATGGCCTCTGCTTCGACGTCAACGGTACCATGCGCTTCAAAGATATCTTCTACAAGGAGAGCGATGTACAGTAATGCCCTCCAGCCTTTCCTGCTGCCTCACGCGTTGCCTCAACCCCGAGATGCTCTCAAAGCCCTTTCATGCAGGTCACATGGGGTAGGTTGGTCGCATGTGTGTGCGTTGGTGCGTGGGCAATTTCATGAATCTGTCTGTCTGGCTGTCTGCACGCACACACACGCATGGATGCGTACATGTATACATACATGCTGTTTCTGTCTGTATGTACATGTCAATGTGAATGAATGAATGAATGAATGAATGAATGAATCAACGAATGGATGTGAGTAAGTATGCAGATAGGATATGCATGTTTGCTTGACCGCTTGTCTATAGTATGTGCTGTTGCATATTTGCGTATGTAACCACTGAGCATGTACGAATGTATGAAGGCATGTATGTATGTACATATGTATGTACGTATGCATGCGTGTTTGTATGTACAGTATAGGTAGCTATGTAGCCAAGTAGCATGAACATAAGCAGTGGCAGCTTCAATTCAAACGATAGACAAAGGCGGCTGAGGGGCACTGTGAAGATATTCTACATTGCGTGCATACGGACATGTGTGTGTGACATCTGGTTGCATTTGCCATGATCGACAGAACCGGTCTGCATGTGTCGTGTCTAACAGTGGTTGTTCGACAACACCATCTCTGAAACCCGTGCCCCCAGAAGCGGAATCTTGAGCCGGGAGAGCGTGAATTCCTGGTCGATGATGCGCAGATAGACAGGAAGAAGGCGCTCCGCTGCCGGTTTTCAAAACATGGAAAGTCTAAGTGGGGAGAGGAGGGCTTCAGGCCTGCCACGGACTGTCAGCAAGCAAGAATCGCAGTTTCGGGTGGTTCGTGCTTCGGGGTGGGTGGCCTCTCTGTCCTGCCATTTGTAAGCCGCATGCATTCAGCCTGACGGAGGCTGGTGAGCAACTGCCTTTCTTGGGCCAAAAGATGGAGTGGGATGAGGAGAAGAAGGAGCTTGGAGCCCCAGTTCGTGCTGTGAATCGGGCTGTCGGGCTGGTGTGTCATGACAGCTTGCTGCTATGTCTTTTGGCTCATGCTGGTTACCTGAGTGTTTCCGGTTTGTTCTGTAGTTGTTGCCTTTCTTCAGGCATATACAGCTGTATCTACTCGTACGAATAAGCTGGCTAGTGCTCGAGCATGTGATTGTGCTCGAGCATGTGATTGTATCTTCGCCACTGCACCTTCATGTCTCCGTCTGCTACGATTTCATATAACATGGCTGTTATGCTGCACCATGACACTACTACTGTCTGCATGTTCTTGTTGTTCTTATAGTTCTTACTCGTGTTCGCCATTCATATTGCTTACATACGTTTTGTCGAAGCTTGGTCCCGCCATGCGCCCTGGTGTTGTCTTTGCATTTATGGATGGGGCCCTGGTGTCGCCTTTGCTGCAGATGTTGTTCGGCTTGCGCTTGTGGTCGGCACACGCCAGAGTGTGGTGCATCTGAATTCAAGAGGTCACTATCACTACCGTCAGCCTCTGCCTCCTTTTTATTGTGGCACCGATTTGTCTGTGGGGCATCTCCTGGCGGACGAATGAGGTACAAGCCCCTGGAGGGCAAGAAATGGGGCACCACTGTCAAGGGCTACGACATGGGCAAATACCTATGGGTAAGTGACTGGGCAGCTGACCTTGGATTGGTTTTGGCTGTTGGATTCAGGTATGGTGTGAGCTCCGAAGCAGTGCCGGTGAGTCTTTGCAGGGCGATACTGTAGGATGCTGAACCACGGAGTACTTCCTGTTGGTCTGCATCCCGCACCCTCTGAGAATCATGTCTGCTTCTGCCGTGGGACCTGTCTCAGCCAAGAGCGCGAGAAGAAGTGGCTGCCGAAGTTCTCTGGTGGCAAGCGTGTCCTTGCCAGGGACTGAGACATATTGATGACAAAGCTCACATTCTTATCAAGATGGTCTCATCAGTCATTCAAGTTGTGTAAGCTCGCAATCAGGTCGAAGAGATTGCAGAGGTCCCCAAGGAGCCTTTCATCATCAAGTTCCCTCAGTGGCATCTTGGAAGCATGATAGGTCAACGAGCCAACCTGACATGGGGCCCGTGGACATGTTTTCTGAAAGATACCTAAGGTGGTTTCCCCTGAAGAGATACAAGTCGCTCATGGTCTGGGAGGATGTGCCTTGCCTCTTGCATCTCGCAAGCCTTGCTCGAAAGTCCCTGGACTGCCGTTGGCTCAATTAGCTCCAGGTCTCCCGGGCTAAATCTCACGCCCGCACATTCCGCAAGCTTCATCTGCATAGCTGCACACTTCCCTAGGCCCGGACACACCATTAAGGGAAAAAACACCTGTATGTTGACCGCTTCGGGCACAGATGGCTGAAAAGAGCCCCACTCCGAGCAGCCTTGGCCGCTCAAGGAGCCGCCATGTTAGTCTTCACCGGATTGGACTCCGCTTTTGGAGAGCTGGGTTTTGGAGGAGCAGCAGCTGGAGCAGCCTTCCCCCGCCCTCCTCCGCCGCACTCGGGGAGGAGGCGGCGGCTCAGCTCCTACAAAGATGTGGCTGGGAGGCCACGAAGGCGTCGACGGGAGCGGGTCTTTGTCCCCGTTTGGATTCTTGCAGCTCTGCAGCGCACCGAGCAGTGGGAAAGCAAAGGGCATCGAAGTGGGCAGGTAACAAGAGCAGAAATCCTGTGACCATTGGACGGGAGCTTGTGAAGAGTGCGTTCTATGGGGATAATCCACTCGCCGGTTGCTCAGCCCTCAAACTCAACAGCTGCAACTCGTAGAGATCTAGAGCCAGGTTCGGAGCCGATGCCTGCAAGGCCTGTGGAGTGGTCTTGGCAGCCTGGCTGCGCGTAAGCTTTGGGGTGGGAGCTGGGGGGGCAGGCTAAGGCTACTTCCGGATGTTGCCGAGAACAGTTTCACGCCCTCACGCAAGCAGAGCCCGAGTCAGGTCTCTTCTTTTGCACCTGAGCTCTACAGTAGTTGGTGTCACACCATGAGTTCCGATTCCAAGGCAACGTCTACGAGATTCAGTGTGAGCTGAACGGACATCCCGCCGGGGTAATAGTGCAGCTCGTCGCACATCTCAAGTCTAAAGGTATCTTCGCGACGTGAGCCCTGCGCAACTGCAAGTCCTGCTACCAATCCAGAAAGCTCCCTTCTAACACCTGTTGTAGACGCCCACGAAGATCCTGGTTCAGACTAACTTGCAACCCGCCGTTATCTTCTGAGGAAGGTCATTGATTGGAGGGATGCCAGCGGGCCTTGGCTCCGCCGCGAGCTGAAGACCTACGAGGCCTCGCACTTGCAGCTCCTCGTCGTCCCATCGTACCATATAGTAAGAACATTAATATATATATATATATATATATGTGTACATATAGATAGTATCCTAACCCCTTAGAGCTCTAAGCCCTGAAGACTGAAACTCCTGTCGAGGCACAGGCTTCCCCCGGGCCCTGGCAAAGGTGGAGGCCTTGTTCTATCAGACATATGCGGAGCGTCTTCGCGCCCTGGGTGCATGCTGCCCCGAGCTGTTGTTACTGGACAGGACAGCTTGAGGGTTCTTCAACTCCTCCCCATCCTGAGCGCAAGTTTTCTGATTTCGTGGTTTGCACAGGTACTGTCTGCATGTCCTTTCCATATACACATCTGATCTATCAAGATCTATCAGAATCTATCATGAAACTGTTCGTTCCGTCACTCACTCACAGGCTCACTCATTCATTCACTCAGTTTCAGTCACTCTGTCAATCATTCCGTCATTGGTTTCTTCATTCAAGCATGTGTTTATTCATTTGTATTATCATTAGGGTCTGTTTGTTTCATATGTGTACACGTACGAATTACATTACATATACATATACATATACACATATATATATATATAGACGAGTATAAACATACACCCATGTCTGTCTGTCCGTATGTATGTAGGGAGGTAGGGAGGTAGGTATGTACATTTCTATTGCAGTATACTACATTCCATGATGTACATCTGTTTTTCTGTATCACTTTGCTTTTGTCTCCAGGTCAGTTTGTCCGAGAGCCGAGAGCCCCCCCTGGATCCCTGAGGAGCGACCGGGCCCTCACTTTGGCCATCTCGAGGCTCCGCGGCGACGCCGTGAGGTCGGAGTTGCTGTTTTGCTTATCTTCTTTTATTGAAAAGATAGTACTAGTAGTAAGGGATTCGGATTTAGGGCTTTTTGGGTGTATTGACTTGTTGAGGGCCTTTGAAGGCACCTGCCGTTTGAGTCCTGCGTCGCAGAAGATTCTGCGTCCCTTCGGAGGAAGTTGAGCCCAGCAGCTACGAATCAAGCCCTTCAGTGGCTGGCTCGACTGCATGCAGAGTTCTGGGGAGTCCGTGCAGAGGCCGCATGTTGGAGTGATGCGAGCTCGTCTTATTCACAAGCATCGATCGGTCCAACAGCCTTCTCCATTGCATCGAATGGGGCACTACTGCCGAAATATTGTCCGACGCAAGCAGAAACTTGACAGCTTCCTGACGCTGGCAACCATCCAAATCCTGACAACCTCGAACCGCTGAGATTTCGGAAGTCCTGAATCTTGCAGGATGCGGTTGCAGCCGGCCTGCATGAAGTGGGCTGCTTCTGGAGTCTGGACAACTGCCGGGATCAGCTCTCAAATCTCCCACAGGCCAATCCGATGTTTGAACTGCATCTCTGCTTTTTGCTGCGATGGGATGTGATTAGGGCCTAGGGAGCCTCGGGAGCCTGCAGCCTGCATCTTACTATTGGAGCCGCCGGAAGCATGACTGCAAGTATTGGATCAATCAGATCATGGGCGCGTCGAGCCTGCAGGGGTTTAGGACCTTTCTGTGCTGCATCTCCTCACAGGATGGCTTTGGCCAGCGGCTTCTCTTGGCAGCAGATGCCGTGGACCAACGATTGAAACTGGAGCTGCAAAGCATCTGTCATGGCGACTGCAAAGGTGGGATTTCACCAAAGAGCTTGTAGTATCTTAGCATTCCCCCAGCTGAAGACTGCTGTGCTCGGCCGACCCTGTCAACAGATCACAATATGTGCCTTCACGATGGTATCATCGGCATGTTCGACTTTCAGTGGACTGGAAAAGCATGCATCGGAAAGGACATCGCCTACTGCCTCGTATGCGCTTCAGGCAGTCGCTGGGTGAGTGCGACGGGAGTCTAATAGTTGGCACCCGTAGACGTCGCGCAGTAATGGAGCCTGTCCCCCTGAGGCCAGCTGAGTTCGACTGACGAAGCTTCTTACTTGGCTACCTACCACCGGGCCTTGTCAGAGCAGCTCGCGGCGAGACAGGAGCCGTCCTCTGCCCCAACGCTGGAGCAGGCAGGGGCCCTGAGTTCGTTCCTTTCTTCTTTTTTTTGGGGGGCTGTGCTGCACGTTGTGCACGTAAGAGGTCGCTGGTTGCTATCGCCTGGCGCTCCTGGACCTGGCAGGGCCAATTCTCGGAATCATGCTGCTAGACACCGCCACTCTTGTTTTTGTTTTCCTAGACTCGTGATCGTGACGATTCTGACTCTTACTCTTCGTGTCATTGTCTCGTGCTTCCGCCCTTGTCTGATCATCAGTGAGCTTGGCATGCCCGAACACGACCTGCGTTCAGGCGCGATGGATGGCCGGCTGCCCTTATGGCTGGTGGGGCCATGGGCGAGTTCTGAAACATGCAGCGGAGGAAGTGCTACGCAGCCTGGACGGCGGGCAGGTCTCGGGTTGAACATGCCGGTTAATACCTTAACCATGTCCTATTGTGATACCAGCTACGATCATCCCGACACATCGCAAGCTTTCACGTATGACAGTTGTACGTTTGTTCCAAGCTCTCCTTCAATCCACTGCTCACTGCTGCCAGATCTTGAACTCCGCCGACGACTATCGGGCGGTCTTGTGGCGTGAGTTCCCCCGACACGGCGAATGCGAGCCAGAGAGTCAAAAGAGCGGCTGTTGGGAGCCCACCAAAGCCTGAACCCTAGATCTTGTCTTGATGCCTCTGCCGGATAGGCATTCCGACTAAAGGGAAACTGGCAAACGGAAAAGTGGGTTCAAAAACGAAAGGTCTTTAAGGTTCGAATCCTTAGACATAGGGTGCTTCATGCAGCCAAGTAGGCTTACTTCTCTCTGCTCTGCATCGCGAGGAGACGGATGCCTGCCCCAAAGGCAAAGTCCGCATTATCTACTCTGGCGGGAAGTCCAATCAGAATGGCATGAGCCGCTGGTCATACAAGAATCAGACCGGGCTGAAACCGCGAGGAAGTCTCAAAGCCTAGGAGAGGCTTTTTTTGTCGCCGCTAAGGTAACGGGCCAGAGGATGAGTCAGGTGCCAGCGCGCTCCCTGGCCTGGAACACTGATGGGATGTCCGGATGTTTTCAGCTGCTTGTATTGGCGTTTCGATTGATCAAAAACCCTCGGGGGCAGAGTTGTTTTGTTTGGCTCTTGGCTTGCGGCCGCTTTCTGCTGTTCTACGGTGGCACTGTGCACGAGGCCTGTGCACACCTACCATGCCATCAAGAGATCCTTGGCGAAGGATTAAGGGATGTAAAGGGGGTGTGCACGATGCCACAAGCCCAGTAAGCCGAGACACCGACCTTGCCAGCTCCAAGAAGTACCAGGAGGTCGGCTGGTGGCACGAAGACAGAGAGAAGGATTGCGTTGATGGAAAGCAGACTCAGGAGCTGCTCATGTGTTTCCTGAGGCTGCCAAAAAGGCCCTCTGCGAGGTACCACCGATCAGGCTGAAGTGCGAGGGCGGGAAGATGCCCAAGTGCCTCTTGATTGCAAACGGTGCTCATGATTGCGGAATGTTTTGTGAAGGGTTTCTTTACGGTGCGCCGTCGGCCTACTGGTGCGGTGTACGGCTTTGATTCTAGGCTTTCTGCATTATCTTCCAGTATACAGTCTACCCCTGTGCCCATCGCGATCCTGCCCCCAAAATGAGCGATGATGGATGACGGCAGGGTTCGTGAGTCCGCTCTTCCTCCGTTGACGAGGGAAGGATCGGCAGGGCAGCAAGTTACTCCGTCAATCTGGCACGGTGAGAATCACAGCAGGCCATGCATGGGAGATCGCATGCCATGCCATGCAGTCAGCATGTCCCGGCGGGTCCTTCAAGACGTGCAAGAATCAGAGGTCCGGCATGTCTGTGGGTGCAGCGACCTGTCAGAGTCGAAGCTACGCCGAGGGATGCGCACATTGCTTTGTAACATCAAGCTGTAAGGTGATCTTTTCGGGGGTTCTGGAAGAGGTCACCGTGTTCACCGTCATCGACAGGTGTGTCTTTTCGCGTCGTTGCGCCATGGTCTAGAGTTAAAGTCAGCCCCTCGCGCTCATGGAGCCTACAGCAGTAATCTGTCTGCCTGCCTCAGCATGTTCCATGAATCTCAGGCTTTGATGCTGTGGGGACCTCAAGAGTCTGAGCTGCTGCCAGTTGTCGCAGTCGCCGGTAGAGACCATGCAACCCCAGGACTGGAAACCACCGGCCAGCGGCTTAGGGCCTGGCTCAGGGCTTTGGGGGGATGCGTTTTCTTTTTTTCTCATTGTGATCTGATCTGCTCATCTGCTCACCGCTGAGCCGGAGCCGCCGAAGCCGAAGTTTCGCTTCTGCTCCTTCCTAAACCCAACGCCGCCAAAGCCGACGCGGCAACCTGGCTTTCAAGGATCTCCAGAGTTCCCTGAAGACTTCAGGTTCAGGGCCGTTCAGGCTGGAAGTCCAGTTTCCACATGAAGTGAGTAATCCCGAAGGCTTTTCGCAGGCACTGAGGGCTTCCCAGCACCCAGACCTGCGAATCAATCTCAGATGTGAATGGTGCGATCAAGCCCCGCCACAATCATTGCGAAGCCATGTCCTACGTACCTCCAAGGCCCCCTGTGGTCACTTTCCAGATCGCCAAACAATCGGTGGGCGGCGTCTGCAAGAAAGACGAGCCTGAGCCGGGAGCTGGTGTAGACGAGGCAGGGCCCAGGACAAGTCTAGCGCGACCGGACCCAAATGTACATGGTTATGTATGTGTGCATACATGTATACATGTGTCTATAGACATACATACAGTTACATCCCTCATCGAAAGACAGGGACTCAAACGATCCAATCAGTCGCCACGCGGACATGTCCCAAATGCCCTTGTCCAATCCTTGCTGGGCAGGATCCGCAGGAAGAGCGGGCGGGGTGACAGCGGCAACCCAGCCGTCGGAGAAGCCCTGTGTGTGCAGGGCCTGCTACGCATGCGTTGCGGCCAAAGAAAAGGTGCTGTGTGAAGCAAAGCTGGCGGTATTTGAACGAACTTCCATCCTGTCCAAGGGTCCCCCAAGATTTGAGCCCGGAGCCTTGAGTCTATGGTAAGAACTCCGAATGAAAAACGCGATGCTGCCAGGTGTGTAGGGCCAGGGTTTATCCATGCCCTTTGCATACATATGTTCAGGGGCCCTGACTTTCGCGCGATGCTTCTTGAAGGCTACAACAGCTGACGGTTGCGCTGATCCAGGGAACGGCCATGGGAGCAGGGAGTCCTAAAGTCTTTCTGGCATCGACCCATGCGACAATTCGACAATGGGACATGGCAGTGCCGCAGTGCAGGGCTGGGATTCTCGGAGTCGGCGGGTGCTTCGAGCCGAGGCTGGCATCGGCCTCGTGTGCGCTTGCGACTACGTGATCTCCGTGAAGAGCCCGGGGTCCCGGTTAAGAGTCGGCTCGGTGCTCGACCGGAGATACCGTCAGGGGATCCTGATCACCCTATGGAGTCGTTGTCTAACGAGCTCTCCCCAGGAGAACCTGGGGCAGAGGTATGGATCTTTGGAAGATCTCCCGTCAAACGACGTGTCAGGTGCATTCTTCACGATGAGCGAAACCAAGCTCGGAGCTGTGCGCGCCCCGGGCGTTGTCTGCTATCCACGGAAGATGAGCAGTGGTGACGATGATGTCCATTTCTTGTGTACGGTTATGTTTAGCATACTCTGAAAATCGGTACGAGTTGATCTGCTAGTACTCGTATTAATGGTTCTTGTTGTTCTTCTTGTATTGTTATTGTTGACCTTTCTCGGCCAAGGTGCCCGCCACTGCGTTGCCCTACATCACCAGGTCAGGGTGAGCACGCACCTGCCAGAAAGGCTACAGTAAGATACTTGCAAGTGCACGCGTGCGGGAAGTTGTGAGCAATGTCTGGCCTTGAACGATGCACAGGCGGTGTACCTTCATTAAGAACGTGCCCGGGACCCAGTCAAAGGTAATTATCCAACATCGCAAGCACGCGGGTTTGATTCCATGGCTGCTTCCGTCCTTGAGTACGCACAGAGCCGAAGCACACAGAAGCAAAATGTCTGATGAAAAGACATCGCCTTTTTCCAGAGTGCATGCAAATGCAGCTGCGCAGGCAGAAAACGGTCTTGGGGTTTTTCCGTGGTCACTGCATCTTTTCGTGCGTTTTCATTTCCTTCCACCCCTGGAGTCTATGAGAGTGGCGTGAGAGAAGTTGCAGAGCTTCGGATCTGAGGTATCAGCTCGTCCTTGCCGGGGCGAACTTGTCATCAGAGATAGCCGAGGATCTTGAATGCCCTGTTTCTGAGATTGCACGGTTGCTGATTCTGGGGCCCGTGCGTTATAGCAGAGCAACGGGAATTCTTGCAGATGGTTCAGCCCGTAGTGCCGTGCGTCGTTCAGCTGATGCGCTCTAGCTTTCGAGGAGTATGGCTTCGTCGACAAGGTGGTCGACGAAATCAAAGACCTTGAGGCACATCCCTTTGGCGTGACGGCCAAGGGTGCTACTATTTAGTTTGTATCCTCTTATTAAGACCAGCACTGCAAACCCAAACAGGCAGATTCCAAGTACCTCGCTTGCTTGGGTCATCTTCACATTCAGTATGAATGTGGTCTTTGCCGCTTGAAAGGCCTTGGAGTGATTAAAGTTGCGCATCAACTCTCAGAACTTCCACGGTGTTGAAGTGTTCGTCCTCCGTACCCGATTCTAGACCTTCGCTCTCCGCAGACCGAGTGCCAAGCTGTGTGTGACCGAATGACACTTTGCGCACCTGGAGCTGTGGCGGGGCACTGAGATATGTTTATATTGTCTGTTTTCAGGGTGGGTAAAACGGTGTAACTTCAGCAAAGGACGGGGCACTGTAGAATATCTCAGCCTTAGCTTGCGGTTTCATTCGTGTTTGGGATTCTTGTGCATGTCTGGGACAGAGGGTTCCTGCAAATCTCGCCACAAGGCTGCCACCAAAGACGTGGTCATGAACACGGCAGTTGGCCCAGAGCTGCATTGGTAGCAGCTGGGTCTGGACCATGGACCATGAAGATCCAAAAAGCATGCCTCCAAATGCTACGTGCCACGAATAGAGCTCGTAACATTCCACTTGTTGACAGCTTTTAACAGTTCTTGCAGTTTGCCGCACATGGGAGTCGGATCCGAGAGGCTGCCGAAAGCCAAGGTCGGTGTGCCCCCATCTTCCTTCATGTGCCGCCCAGAGTTGGAAGTAGCCAGGGGTCCGGGGTTTCGGGAGACTGAATGGTTGCCTGTGTCTTTAGCCATCCACTGTGTCACCCAGCAACCAAGCATACACCAATGCAAACGGAGGCGCGATGCTTTTTTGATGTTGGGGGCACCGTTTCGCCGTGAGGTGGTGCTTAGCTGCAGCTTTCTGTGGTCTTCTGATTCTGTGTTCAACCTGCGTAGTATAAAAGCGATTTCCAGCATGTGCTGGACAATGCCTCCTTCCCGAACGTTCAAACAGCGAATATCCGTACTCATTCCCAGTCAGACGGCGTGTGTGGAACTCGCCTACGGCGAGAGGCAGAGCTGTGGAAAATGAAACTGCTGATCCGCACTTTCACTTGGCCGCGAACGGTCTCAAATCTCAAACAAGAGGCGCTCCGAAATGAGCCAAACTCGAAGTACAGACACAACAAACGCTCAACGGGGATGGCAGCGCTTAAAGTCCTCAATGCCGGGCCGAACCCAGCGATTGAATGCTATGCTGGTTCATGACGAGATTGCACAGGATTGCTTGTTCAATTCCGCTGGCCGATTTGCCTTGACGTGCGTCGCCAGGATGAACTATGTGGCAGGAATCGTTGCGGATATCCGCGCAGGCAGGCTGCACTTGTGTACATGATGTCTTCCGGGCTGTCAACAAACGAGCTCTTCCATCGCTGACATCAGTGGAGGCAAGCGAACACATGAGCGTGAGCGTGTGAAAAGCGTATCAACCGTGGCTTGCCAGCTAGAGAGAGAGAGAGAGAGAGAGAGAGAGAGAGAGAGAGAGAGAGAGAGAGAGAGCGCATTTGTTATATCGGCTTATAGTGCGAGCTCCGCCCACGGGGTAACGAAACGCTGTCGCACGTAATACCGTGCGTACAACCACCAGTCGGGCAGCTCCCGCGGGGGCTCGCCCTCAGGCCTGGGGAAAGAAAGAGAGAGAGAGAGAGAGAGTTTATACCATAACCCTGGCGAAAGGAAAGAAAGAGAGAGAGAGAGAGAGAGAGAGACGAAAACCTTTCACACTCCTCCAAAGTCCCCACAAAATATGGGGTGGCCCTAGTGGCCGAGGGGTCTTAACAGCCCCTCATGCCCGGCGGAAGAAGAGAGAGATGGCCATACGCGCGAGGGGGGCGACCCCTTCTGCCCGAGTGCAAGCAAGAGATGGCCATACTCTGGAGTGCCCCAAAAGCCGATCACTCCATAGCACAGGGGGTGGTCGGGCGGGCCTAGGCCTGTGGGTCGCACCGCGACCCTTATGCCCGGCAGAAAGAAAGAAAGAGAGTCCATCTGCTCAGTGGGGTTGATGGGTTCTATATCTCAAGGTGTGGCCGCGACGGTGAATAGGCAAGCAAAGTGAATCATAGTTCACACGGCCGCTTGATTCATTCTTTGACAAGCTCCAACATGAAGGGCCGGCCTACTAACATTAAGAAAGAATATGCATCTGTACCTATTCTTGTTGAATTAAACCTTACATCATCTTTTCCTGCTTGTAACTAACTATCTATGCCTATCTGATCGCTCGATGGATGGATGGACGGACGGACGGATGGATGCATTGCTGGATTGATTTCGATCGCTCGATGGATGGATGGATGGACGGACGGATGGATGGGTTGGTTGATTGATTGACTGATTCCTTCATTCATTCATTGATTGGTCACTGGAGGTTTCTTTCTATATGTACTGGTATAGCTTGACTAGCATGTAGGCAGACAGCAGTTGCACTCGCCAAGTCCCGCGAGGCCCAGAGTGCAAAGCTGGGATGCAAGCTGTGCTGTCGGTGCCCTAAACCGGAGGGGGCGGCTAGTAGGGCTAGTAAGCGCTTTAGGTCAGGGGCCTACGTAGACTCCAACATCCGGATGGCAGTATTCGTCGCAGTTGCTGCGTTCATGTTTCAAAATGCATGTATCAAGCTACGGCTCTTGACATGCTTTTGCAGTCTGTCGCAAGGAACAAGACTCGGCCGAAATGGGTGCAGCCGGCATACATTTTCGCTTCAGCCACTTGAATCTGTTTCCTTGTTCACCCTGAGCCAGGCCGACACGCCAATTGCGCCGTGAACAGTTCGGGCAGATGCTTTTAGATGCCTAAATTTGGGCCAGTTTCGCGTGCTGCTTCGGATCTTCTTAAACCCTCCAGCGCTGTGCAGATTACAGCGCTGAGGGGCTGTAAATGTCTGGCTCTGTGGCCACGAGAGCCTTCTTCCCTCATTCTGTTTGGACATAGGGAAACTGACCAGCTTTGCATGTCTCTCCCTGCGTCTTGGGAGGGTGTGGACTGCAGCCCTGCATGATTTGCGTTGATTTTCGACGCGATCTTGCTCCTGGCTCGGAAGGCTTAGAGGTGTTCCCGAAGCCCAGCAGTTGGCCTGGAGGTGGGATGCGTGGACAGCGAGCTTCAGTGCCTTGTGATTTCTGGTGATGTCTCGTGTGCAGGTCCGCCATGGTGAGCTTGCTCCCTCCTGGGAATCCGTTTGTCGCAGGCCGTGTCTTTGATTTCGGCCAAGTCCAGGCTACGCCACGACCAACTGCCGCAGGGCAGGTCGGCCATGTGTCCTTGCCGTATGCTCCGCTGGGTGCCCCCACCTTTCCCAACTTCGCTCAGCCGGTCCATGTAGTGGCACCGCACACCATCCCTCCTGGCACGGTGTATTCGCCGGTCATGACCCATCGGACGGTGTACACAGCAGCGACCCCGTCACTGCACAGCCCGAGGCCCAGATTTCAATGTGTTTGGGACTTGACCCAGCTTGAACACCAAACCATGTAATCCATGTGCTTGAGTCAAATGATTCAGGTCATGTGGTAAGTCCCATGTCCAGCCCCATGCTGGGATACCGCCCGGTCGCTCAAAGTGCCCGGATCTTAACTAGAGGTCGACATGTGCAGTCTGCTATGCTGTCTGCCTGAATTCAATCGTCCTTGAGCACGCGTTTGACGTGGACGTTGCCCACCTCCCTTGCGCCGGCGGGCGTAGCTATCGGCGCCACAAGCAGCGATCCTTCGCCCTTCAAATCAGACCTCTGGACTCGTTGTAGAAGCAGCCCACGAGCGCCAAAAGCGAAAACCGACAAGCCTTGTACTCAGTTTCATGACGACACCACTGCACATGCACTGACAGCACTCGGAAGCATCAGATTTTCGTCCTCTGTCGGAATATGCTCGGAATGCACGCGCATAGACATACATTAATGCATAAGGGCACACATGGACATACACAAAAATCCACGTTCGGTCTCTGACTGCCGCCCATGCCGTTCAGGAGTCTGATCAACTAATCAGAGACAGTCTCACCCTGCGTATGGCAGCAACTGCTGACTGAGGGAATGCCACGGGTCCTCGAGGGCATTGGCACGCCAGCAGGCTTCACACGGATGCGAAGCCTCAGCCAAGATCGTGTGCGCTTGATACCGGAGGGGCTTATTCTCCTGTGACTCCAGTGTATATGTATATGGATTATACGACATTTTATATTCATGTATGATGTATATACATAAATATACGCATGTGTGCATATATGTTTATATGTTTGTATGTCAGCATAGACATACTTTCACATATAGAACTAACAATGAATTATGTATCCACATACATATATCCGTCTATCTCTGTCTCTCAGTCCCTCTCGTGCACTGTGCAGGAGCTGATGTCTCTTGCATCGCTTTTCACTGCTGTAGCTGGTTACGCCTTTTGCTGCTTTACGCTGCATAAGAGATGCTGTCGGCTTTCTCTACTCTACTTTTCTTACAGAATATATCGTATCATGGTCAAGGGATGCCATGAAGGTTTGTGCATCTAGAGCTTCCAAAAGTCTGCTGAGCAGCAGCTGTGCCTAAGAGTTGACTGACCCCGAAGTGTTGAGTGCACTGCTTTCTTCAACGTATCCTGGGTAGCCTTTCGGCCCATTTAAACGCTCAGTCAATGCCGGCACGCTGCTGCAAGCCCGAAAGGAAGAATGCAAAGTGAAGAGCTAGACTCTAACTGCTTAAGTGCGCAAGGTACGGATCGACGTTTTGGAGAGAACGTCTTCCCCCAAGGCGGTACTGTTCTACGATAGTCTCAAGCAAGAGGGGTCCAAATCAGAACATGTTCTCAATCATTGTTCAGACATACACGATGGTGCACGAGGAGACGCTGCAAAGCGATACAGGGAATCGTGACCTACCCTACCCTGGTTCAAGACGTTGACGGTTGGTTGTGTTGGCTTCGCAGTCGACTGGGGCCTGGATGTCGACTGAACAGTTTTAGCATGCTCTACGTGCCGCTGAAGTGAACGAGTGCCTGTTGCCCTTGCAACCATGCTCTGTGCATCTCTGTGCTACAGTGATCTACAGTGTGGCTGGACGATGTCATAGTGGTCGGTATACTAAATACAGATTGCATTTGGCAGCATAGCTTAGTGCAGGTTAGTGGCAAACTCTTACCGCTTGCACAGGCGATGAAGACAGAGGAGAGGTGGGATGACCTGTGTTGCTCCGCTGAACCACCACCACTATGCTGTCACACAGCTTCCACTGCTGCTCTCAGTTCTTGTCCTACTACAGTTGTGATCCTTGGCATAATCACCGTTCCCAACATATCACAGCTCCTGAGCACGCTCGGAGGTCGGTTCCGACGGCCATCAGCAGCAGCCCTGTCTCAATCCGGATTCCCAGTGTAGTGCGCAAAACTTCAGCGCGGGATTGCATACACAACATGCCATCATCCCTACAGCGAGCAGAAGCGCCTCCTCTTGAGCTGCATGGCTTTTCCCGCCCAGCCTGATGCTTCAGGTCCGACGAGCACCCGAAGCCTCAAAGACGCTCAGCCGGATGCTCAGTGACCAGACGAGGACGGACTGAATTACGCTGCTGTACACCTCGGTGCAACTTAGGCTTGCGGTGCAATGTACAAGTACACTGCAAGCATTGCGCATAGATCACTTTAGTCGGTCTTCCCTCTACTACAACTTTCACGCAGCAAGGAGTCAAGGAGTAGCATGTGTACGTGCAGTTTCTTTGTGTTTTGTTGTAGCTACTTCTCTGCCTGACAAGCTGGTAACCATCCAAGAGCAGTCCCAGATGAAGGATGTTCCAAGTTTTCGCTGTGGTAGTGGAGACCATCAATATTTTTGCTTTTTGCAGGTCCTCAGGTGCTCGTAGCGGCACTCCAACCCGCTTGGCCCGAAGTGCCTCGAAAGAGCTGCGCATCGTGGAGGACAAGCTGTACAGGGACGAGCGATGGATCGGTGCACGCCTGCAGACAAACATCGTGGGCATCAGAAGTTGACAGGAGGATCGCAGGATCGCTGACAGCCCGAAGCTGGAAAGGCGGGAGAGGCCTTGTTCTGCCGGTTCTGGTGTTGTTCAGCGGGGCCCACAGGCACAGAGTGAGAGTTTTGCCAGGGCGGTGCCTCAACCTATCAGCTTGCGCCTCATCCGATCCAGCTGCATTTCAGCTTCATTGAGCTCGGGTCCGCTGCGCGGGCAACGGCGAATTGCAGGCCCGCAGTCGTCAAGAGCCTCTTTGGGCATGCGAAGCGCTTCGTGGAGGTTCGATGTCCTCACAGGGAAACAGTAGGCAGTAGCCGCGACTGCTCCAATGCAGGGCATCTACGCCGGAATCGTCGCCAAAGAGTTCCATGCGAATCCCTTCCAAGGGGAGGCTGGGCATAGAGATTGGAGCTATCGGTAGGCACTCTTTTCCCGAGCAAACCTTTTGGCTGTCTGCTTTTTGCCAGGCATGACAGCTACCAGAAGTCGCTGCAGGCGCCAGTTGCAGCGAGCAAGACATGAGCCTCGCCTTAGCTGGTGCAGGCTCACGGGCCTTGGGATAACCGGAACGCGTGCCAGCCTGAGCACCGCTTCTTGAGCGAGTGTGTCCAGCAGTGTAACTCTTTCCCTGGAGGCCTGGGAATGACTTCAACTCCTCACTACGTGATCGAGTGCTGCCTCTGAATTCTGGCCGCTCGAGGTCCCGTCTTCGCTTTTGCTACCAATATACAAGTAGCATGTTACACTATAAAGACTAAGATGATAGTACGGCGGTTGGCTTGCCATTCTGCTTCGCCGGATGTTCTCCCAGACCAGGGGTGGCTTTTGACCGAAGGGGGTGTCTGTCAAAAAGGGGGTTTGGGGGGTGTCTGGGCTGTCAAAAAGGGGGTTTGGGGGTTGGGGGGATTTTAGGGGGGGTGTCTGTCAAAAAGGCGGTTTGGAGGTGACACGTGAGGGTTTCGGGGGGGGGGGGGGGGGGAGAGATTTTTGAGGGGGAGGGGGATGGGTGGCATTTTGATTTTTGTTGGGGAAGGTCGGTTCGGGGCGTGGTTGGGTGGGAGGGGGGAAGGGTTTGGGGGGGAGGAAGGTCGGTTCGTTTTGGGGGGGAGGTCGCGGAAGGGGAGGAGGAGGGTCGCAAGCAGGTTTGGGGGGAAGCAAGTGGGCGGGGTGGGCGTCTGTGGGGTTTTGGGAGGGGTTTGAGGAGGTCAAGTCACTGAGCTAGGCCCAAGGCCCTGGGCCCAGCGGGCCAGCGGGCCCTGAGCGCCCCTCAACCTTACAGAGGCCATTGAGCAGATCTCTGTCTCGCAGCTCATCACGAGATCTGGGCTTGGACGAAGATGAGGCCACGGCCATCGAAACAGCTGAGGAGCACCTCCAAGATGTTGAGATACCGTCTCAGTCTGTGTACGTGCCGCCAGACCCATGCCGGCCACCGACTTTCTCGTGCACACACTGTGAGATGCCCAGGATTTCCGGCATGTAGTGTTGCGGTGATACGCCGGAGTCTACGCTTTTGCTGTGAACTCTGTCCCCTCACAAACCCTTTCGGAATGATGAGGGGATCCTGCAGTTGTGCTGCAAAGGGGCCCTCGCATGCAACCTGCAGATATCCCCTACAGCCCTGGTTGCCAAGGCTAGCTTCAGGCCAGCCGCGGACTTGTCAGTGACTGGGGAGGGGGGTATGTGGTGGTCGCCCAAAAATCCAAGTGGTCACCATAGTCTTCATCATCGTCGTCACGCATCAAGAGCATGCATTCTTCAGCAAGCAGTATGTAGTAGCAGCAGCAGCAATTGGAATCGCTTTCGTGGCGTGGCAGCGGCAGTAATCAGCAATGACAGTAATGATGATGCAGGGTGCTGAGAATATGCAGGTAGTGCTAGGAGATGCTTAGAGCCGTCATGATCATATCAGGAACCCAATTCATGGTCGTCATGGAAACAACCGAGATCACAGAAATCATGATTCTGAGAGAGAGAGAGAGAGAGAGAGAGAGAGAGAGAGAGAGCGAGCATTTGTCCGCATGAAAAGCAGCACAGTCATAGTACTCCCATGAGTCATGGTGTCGAGGTGTTTCTGGTAGGAGGACGTATGGCAGATCAAAAACTTGTAGGCAGGGAAGTGTCACAGAACGATTTCGGCAGTTTCACTGATGGCAACAGATGAAGACAGCAATTGAAGAAAACAGACACTAGCATCATGTGAAGAGAGTCTCGCAGAGGATGTCGCCGCTTGTGATGCTGGTGTGCAAAACCAACTGTGACGCATATCTGATGGGTAAGCCACCTTCTGCGGTGGTAGGACGAATGCCGCACATACCTTTGACGTACAGTCGATGCGCGGTATGGCTTTAGAATCACACTTCGCCACTGACACTGTGGCAGTAAGAGAAAGAAGGGTTAAGACGACTACTGATACTATGTGCAACATCGAGAAAACATAGCAGCAACTTGACAATCATTGCAACAAGAGGTCAGGCATGTAATTGTGGCAAGAGGAGTAAAGAGAAAAAGTCCAATAGTTAAACACAAAGAGGTTTCTCAGTCAGTATGTGGTGTCATGTTCTGCGGTAATACAGCAGAGTTTTTTGAAGATTGCGTCTGGTCGTAGTAGCAACAGAGAGGACTTGCAGAATGCTAGCCGACTTGATGGCACGGGTTTCGACGCTTATATGCCAAGAGTACACGTAGCCGAATTCGGACGGGGTAGATGTCTGCAAAATGAGTACGAGTATTCCACAGTATTCCCTGAGAGTCCCTATATAAGCTATAATACAAAAGCCCCTTGAACCTTCCAAATATCAGGGCTCTGACATAAATGCGGAAAGGCTGAAATGCTCGGACCGACCGGATCGCTCGGCGTCACCCAGCGGACGCCGCTCGCCGTCCCGCAGTGCTCGCACGGTGCCCAGTCGCATCCAAGCACGGGACCTCTCCTCCTTGATGTGCGTGTTGGAGGCAGCTCAGGGTTAAGTTGTGTGTATGTCTACGTGCCTTCTCATGCTGCAACTTGGAATTGGCAGCACCCCAAAATCGGGATCTTTAGTTCGGGGTGCGGTTGGGGCCAGTCGAGGGCTCACTCAAGCATGGACTGGTTCTAGTGAGAGTTGTTCAGTTCTTTGCCGCTTAAGTGGGGCTTGCGCAACAGCAATGAAACCAACGCCGAGTCGGTCTAGCTGAGTGATGGGGCTGTCCATTCCAGTTGAAGACACTGAAGGGTTGAGCATGTGCACAGCACTCTGTGCAATTCAAGCGCTTGTTCTCGGAGCCAAGACCTGTACGAGCGAGAGCAGAGCTTTGTGCAAGGAAGCAATCGAAGCAGATCCGCTTCTCCGGATCGTGGCGCCTGCGGCTCAGGGCCGGCGAAGGATCGGTTGAGAGTTCCTACCACTTAGTGACATGTTCTTCTGAGGCTCGAGGCCTTAACTGGTTCCCGCTCTTCCAAGCTCCAGCGCAGCCTGGCCGCACTCCAGCCGTGACGGGACATGACGGACCGATCCAAGTCGATCAATGGTACTGCAGGCATGGGCACGGATCCGAGACGGTGCGGGCCTTGGCAACTAGTAAGCTAGGGCTGGAAAGATAGGAGCCTGGCAGTAGGCTTAGCTAGGCTTTAGGGAGGGATTACGGTTGACAGCGAGTGCTTTGTTGGTTTACGGGTTGGGGCTCAGGGTGTTTTGGGGGTTCGGGCTGACCTGGGCGCACGACACCAGTCACGTCATGACGATGTCGAGTCGGAGATTCGCAGGTTCGATCCTTTCACGTCGAACCTATTAGGCATAGGAATAAATAAACGAAAGCACTCATGATCAGATCTACATAGCAAACAAGGAAAGTGTGAACAGATGACCTAACGAGATAAACAATCAAAACCATCAGTAGATGAACAGGAGTTTTGTCAAACCAATAGATAAACAGCCACACAAGCTCAGTAGATATCACATCATCCATTCCTGACGCGGCTTTGCTGTGACCAGGTAGCGCAGCGCTCATTCGAGAACCAACTCCGTCCGGGCCTCAATAGTTTTGTTACATGGCCTCTCGTGGAGTCTCGGCTTCCCAAAAGGTCAAGGTGTCCGCAGACGCAATCAGGGTTTGGGCATATTGCGGTGTATGTAATTGTACCGGAGATTACCGGAGCTATAAGGGATGTTACCAAGTACGATTCAGCCTCCCGCCAATCAGCAACAACACTCCATTTTCCAAACTTGTACTGAGGTGGGTCTCCAGCTCCACTCCCGATGCAAGCCAAGGTGTGGACGTTCAGACACAGCTGATTCGGCATAGTGCATGTACACACATGTAAATACGTAGCTGGACATTTGCAACATACATACCTACATACGTATGTATATATATATATATATACAACATGCGCGCACACACACACACACACACTCGCAAGCACGCCAGCACGCTCGTGGCCGAGGTGTTGTCAAGTGTTTAGGAGTGTGGCGAAGAGAAAGCAAGAACCATTTCCAGAAACGCACAGGCTCAAAACAACAACGAACAGCAAACATGTCAAGCCAGAACGAGCAAGTTTAGAAAGACCCAGGTCTGCCATGGAGGTAGGTTTGCATCTGTCAATGAATGTAGCTGAACAGAAAAGTAGACGGCACGACTGGTATAAGTTCTTTCGCGCATAGCACGGTGCTGGGGGCTTGTACGACGGCGCCTGTTGGTCTTTCCAGGCAATGCGCAAGTGATGGATTGACAGCGGGCACTTTCGCGCAGGCCTCCTCCCGGTTTTTACGAGTTCATGTTGCGACATTTCGTGGCAGGCTGCCCTGAGTGCTGACATTTCCACTTTCAGCTGCGGTGGCAGACTGCTTGCCATCCCTCCGTGCCCGGGTCAATAGCAGTTTTAGAAACCCCAGGCTCTCCCCATCAAGACCGAGATGGACCAAAATGCTGCCTACACTTCTTGAGCAGACGTAGGCTCATCCTCGAGCAGCTTGACGTTTATACTTGTTTAGAGCAGCAGAGCAGCCGCCTGCACCTTGCCCAGCTATGCGAAAAGCAGCTGGGCTGCATTAGGCGTCTCTTGCTGGTCGGGCCTGTTCCCGCTTTGGGTGCAATGGCAGGCTCGTGGACCATACCTAGCTCATGTTAATGGCTTGCAGGGGGCCAGAGCTTTCCATCCCATTCAGAGCCATGTAAGAGGATTCCTAGGGCTCCGTTGTGAATGCTCGGGCCCCCTGATACTATAGCCTTCGGGGATCCCTGGAACAGGGCACCCTGAACTCCGCCGCGGCCGCTGAAGGCGGTTGCTTTTCCGATGTGCCGGCATGCGACGAATTTCGACAGTTCCACAAGGCTCAGGGCTGCAGGAAGTCAGGTAGGCTTCGAGGCAGGCACACAGGTGAAGATTGGAAAGTTTGATTCGTATCGAACATGCACGTTTTCTGCCGCTCAGCCTCGAGACTTGCCCAAGTTGACCGACCGAACCCACAAGAACTGTCCAGGACGTTGAAGCCACACAATGCCCACCGTCTTTGGCACGAAATCAACGTCTGACAACCAGTAGTACTCTTGTGTACAATGTGTTGCGAACAGACACCGTACAAGCGGGATTACCTGCTGCCCTGCTGCTCGGCATGGCAGTGTCAGATCGTTATCATCTGCGGCTGCTGCCGGAGGCTGTTATTATGCCCGCCTTAAGATGATGTCAGCTCCGATTCTAGGTTACACAGCGCCCAAGCCTTCCCCCTATTCCAATGTACGTTTGCTGATCCCTCCCGTGTACTGTTGAGACTACCTCTAATACTATTATATGAAATGTTTCTTTCGGGGAGCATCTGGCCCGGAATGCAAGCGGAGTTTCAAAGGGACCGCAAGAGAACGAGTGTGCAAAAGAATGTATGAGTTGAGTTCCATTCCCTATCCTAGTTTCGTTTTTCTTCGGACTGCAGGCATTGTCCGGTACCTGCTGGCTGCAACTGCAGGAAGGTAGGACTAGAGGGTCTGCAGTCTTTAGAATAAAGCACTGGGCAAGAAAGGCACCACCCCCAAGAACACAAGTTTGCATGCAAAAAAGTATCTAGTTTTAGGGAAGGGCCAGATTCAATACAACACGGGTAAAGGATTATTCTTGTGGCTGCTTTTGCCTGCTTGTCAAGGAGTTTCAGGTCACCTGAAGTCCTGTTCTAGCTCTATTCCGACCCGTACCGGACCGAAGGCTCTGGGTGCGGTCTCCGGGCCATGCGTCCTCCTCCTGGCCGCGGGCGAAGAGCCAGAAGCGCGGCACTCGGCACCTTCATTCCCCAAGGGCTTCAAGCTGGGCTGGAAGTCTGGTTGGCGTGCAGCACGCAGATTGCGGCGGCTTTCCATTGTGTTCTGCTCCGATCACAGACTCGCCTGGGGGCGGTTCGACAAAGCTGATCTGTTATTTGAAGGCTTCGCTGGCGAGCTGTTTCCGATGCCACGTCGAGCCGACCGAAGCGGCACTCAGAGAGGCGGCCTGGGCCCCAAAGATCCACACGGGAAGATTTCGGAAAGGTGAAGTATGCTTGGTTTTCTGATGGGTGTTCCTGTAATCCAAGTGAGCTTGTCTTAAGTGGGTGCGGGATCAAGGGTCGGCATGAATAGAAGACGGGCAGGTAAAGTCATCCTCCTTCTGATCATCATCATAGGCATTGTTCTCTGCAGCATCTTCATATGTCATTATCGCAATGAAAAAGTTGGGATGTGGCATCAACGACCTTGTACTTGTGTTGCCAGCAGCCCAAAACCCACCCACCTCGCGTTGCATGTGCGCCCATCCTTCCAGCAATTCGGATTTGCTGCAGTCTTGTCCAAGCTGATCCCGAGCCGTTGAGATTGCACAAAAGCAGATCTCGGGCCACGAACACGGGTCGGGCTGCTGCCTATGCCTGAAACCCAGGCCTCTCTGGTCCAAGAGGCTCGCAGAACTCCAGAGGGAGTTATTTGACTTGGACGTTTCGCATTGTGCCGCCGAGTGACAGCGACAGCATTCAAACCGCGTTGCTTTGGGCCTACGCACCGTCTGGCCGACTAGCCCACGTCACCAGATGTCAATTCATCGGATTTACAGTCGAGAAAGAGCGCTTGTCAGGCGTTCTTGGCACCACCGCCGCCTGTGAGTTGCAATCCAAGCATCCAGAAAGCATGGCCAGTTCCTGTTGTTTCGACCGGTTGAGCTTTGTTCTACAATCTTGTAGTGGCACCTCTGAGGTTCCATGTACATAGTTGGTTCAAGCTCGAGGTCAGGCTGAGTTGACTGAGTCTGAGCGGTGCTCTGCCACGTCACGCGAGACTTCGGCCGTTCACACTGCGAAGCCAATGAATACAGCAACAACCGCAGTGAGCTATGGTGTTCGCAATTGCCCTGAAGACTCTTGCCGGTTAGCAAGCATGCCTGTAACAGAGTAGCATCGGCACGAGTAGTGGGTTCGAGTATTCAACTTGAGTTTGTCACTATGATGACTCCAATGATGATGATTATTATTATTAGTACTAGTACTAGTACTAGTACTAGTACTAGTACTAGTACTAGTACTAGTACTAGTACCAGTACCAGTACCAGTACCAGTACCAGTACCAGTACCAGTACCAGTACGAGTACGAGTACGAGTACGAGTACGAGTACTAGTACTAGTACTAGTACTAGTACTACTACTACTACTACTACTACTACTACTACTGCTACTACTACAACTACTACTACAACTGCTACTACCACTACTACTACTACTACTACTACTACTACTACTACTACTACTACTACTACTACTACTACTGCTACTGCTACTACTACTACTACTACCACTACTACCACTACTACACTACTACTACTACTACTACTACTACTACTGCTACTGCTACTGCTACTGCTACTGCTACTGCTACTGCTACTGCTACTGCTACTGCTACTACTACTACTACTACTACTACTACTACTACTACTATTACTACTACTACGTCTTCCAAAACTGCAGCTGCTGCTACTGCTGCTACGGCTGCTGCTCGTGCTGCTGCTGCTACTACTACTGCTACTACTACTACTACTACTACTACTATCACCACTACTACTACTACTATTACTACTACTACTACTACTACTACTACTACTACTACTACTACTACTACTACTGACTACGACTAGCACTGCCCCCGCTACAGTTACTCTAGCTGCTGCTACAACTGCCACTGCTTCCAGCAGCCACTATACCTGCTGCTCAGGCTACGATGTGGAGCCCGGCGATTCCTCCGAGGAAGAGGGTGGCAGCCAGGAAGGTGCGGGAGTACGCATGCATGTGTTGTGACCGCGCCGACGCGACCGGTCCTTTGTAGGTCATGGTCATGTCAGCTGGCTATCTTCAGTTTGCAACTGGTGACGAGTAATCTTTCTAGCAGAAGACTCCGCCCGAGGGTGAATACATCTCCCTTCCGCAAGCATCCATCAATCTGGTTCTGATCGGGTAGCTGGGACAGAGATGTCATGGCACTTAGTGATGATCGACTATCCATATACAATACCTCATGGAGGGAAGTGGCTGGGAAGTCTGAGACGGGCATCAATAGTTTCGACGGAAAGCTCTTATGCCTATCATGTCTTCCAGCAACGACAAAGACTGCTACGAAAGCCATGGCGAGTGTTGCTGCAACAACTACTGCAACTGATGCTTCACTCGCAGTCACCAGTGCCATTGCAGACACTATCATTCCTATTCCGGAGTCTCACGGCTACTTGCATCAGTCGTGGATCAGATTTTTGAGGGTCAGAGGCTTGGCCTTGTTCCGTGGTTCAGGCCTTTGCAAAAGCTGGTAATACTGACTGCTACCTAATTGGCCGACTACGAATAGCTGGTCGCATTCACTCGCTGTCGCCTTTGCTCTGTGGAGGCATTCGATTACGAGTGCGGCTTCGGCGCGAGGGGGACGACAAGTGGGGCGCGCAACGGGCTTCAGTCAGCAAGATTAGAAGAAGAATAAGGACGTGAGGGTGCATGCATGTATACATTGTATATGCAACTCTATGTCTCTATGTTTGTGTACATGGACATGTATATAATACAACAGTGGCATTATATACTTATACAAGGCCGAATGACAGCATGACTGTATTTACAGTCGCACAGTATAGGTTCTAGTTTGGAGTGAGATTGTGGTACAGTCGTGCATAGTTTTTGCACTGTGTTTGGAGGCTGGATTCTGTGCATCTTCGGGAAAGACCTTCTTTTCTTTCTGTGCTCGGTGCAGGCATCAAGTGGCACAAGCAGATGTTCAAGTCGACCGGCACTCAGGTTCTCCTTTGTTGTTCACAACGTCGTCGTGGGTGGGCTGAAGGAAGACAGATGGAATCAAAAGTGAGTTGGGCACGATATGGCAGAAGGGGCCAATCCTTCTTGTCTTGCAGCCATAAGGGTCTACGATATCAGCCAGCGGCTCTACAAGATCCATGAAGCGGGGGTCAAGTTTCAAGGACCAACTCTTACTAGGCTGTTGGCAAGCTCTCCTGTCAGAACCGGACCCGGCTTGGATCGTTGAGAAATCCCACGAAGTCCTGCTCTAGGTCGCACAGACTGGTGGTGGATGAGGTGGCGCACTGCTCAGAACTGGCTGTGCCGACCGAAGAACCTCGGTTGTCCACAAGCTGTCACTGCGGAAATCCTCAAAAACCTAGCAGATCATCTGAAGGTGGAGGGATCCCTCATCCATCGCTGGAACGAATGCCAGCCGCACA